GGGGATTGAACCGCGGTCCCTGTGCTTTGCTAAGCTTGTTCTAAGTAGGTGCTTTAGACCACTGAGCCATCTCACCAGCCCCTTTACAAAGCTTTGCCATGAATAAAATGTCCGGGTGAATGTGAAGATGTTTCTGGACTCTCCAGTTGGAACTATTTGTCTATTACGCTCTAAGTACATACTGCAGGCCCAGGATTTAGCCCAGAGGCACTACATCAACCTGGCAAGCATCAGGTCCTGAGTTCGATTCCCAGTACCATTCTCCCAAAAAAAAGATCCATACTGCACCATCATATCATTATCATCATCATTTCCACTTTATAAATGAGGAAAGTGAGGCACAGAAAGAAACATCAAAGAGCTCGCCCAAGTACGCAACTTGCTAGTTACTAGCTGAGCTGGAAACGGAACTCGGGAGCTCGGCTTTACCTGCTTTCAAAAATCCTATCGGTTTCTCAAGCTGAGGAATTCAAAGAACCAACCATTTTTTCCCCACTAGCTGCAGGTGGCTTTGCACGTAGTCTTGGAAACAGGAAAAACAGCTGCTCCACACTGCGCATGTGCAGGTAACCAAGCCACCCAAACAGAACCGTCAATTCCCCAGTCTCACCAATAGAGGGCTCAGCGCGCTCTCGCAGGCCATCAACCAATCATCTAACGTCTACGCAAGACGCAGTTCAAAAAGAAAGTACAAAGTAAATCAGTTATCTGTGCTGGACTCTGACAAAAAGAGACAAAACAACATTAATCTGCCTTCTTTTTTTTTTTAATCAATTTTTTTGTTTGTTTATTTATTTATTTATTTTGTGTGTGTGGCTAGCTCAGCCCACCAGGGGGCGGGGCTGGCTGGCATGTGGTGCTGGGGGACCGAACCGCGGTGCCTGTGCTTTGCTAAGCTTGTTCTAAGTAGGTGCTTTAGACCACTGAGCCATCCCACCAGCCCCACTCTGCCTTCTTAAATATCTTCGGAGGAGACACCTTTCACTTCCTGGCGAAATTGTCTTACCCCTGGAGGGCCTCAGAAATCCCACTAAATCTCCCCTCTCCTAGCGTAATCCAGGTTCTTGCGTTCTACAGTTCTTGGAAACAAGGACCAGGTGTCTGGCAGCCTCCTAGCAACCGCCATTGAGAGGTACTTGGAATGAACGAGGTGTGGAGCTGAGATCACCAGCTATCTATTTCGCTTCTTAAGCATCATATGGAGTTTTTTGATCTCTCCCCAGTTTTCTTGTGTTCCTCAAAACTGCAAATGGACTTTGCCTCCAACACCCTATTCAGTGTTAGGTTTACTGCCTGGTCGTTGGTGTTGCCCTGCTAATCTCCCCAAGCAACAAGCACTCTCTGGGCATAATAGTTCATCTCTACCAACCTGAAGATAACGCGAACAGCGCAGAGCAAGAGCAAGACAAAGACTTCATAAATAGAACATGCTGGACTGGGGAGATGGCTCAGTAGAATAAGTGCCTGCCTGGCAGGCGCAGGGTCCTGAGTTCAATCACCAGTACCACAAAAAAAATAAAAATAAAAATAGAAAATAGAAAAAATAAATAACCACCAGTACCACAAAAAAAATAAAAATAAAAATAGAAAATAGAAAAAATAAATAACCACCAGTACCACAAAAAAAATAAAAATAAAAATAGAAAATAGAAAAAATAAATAAATAATAGAACATGCTTGGTATGTTATGTTAAGGTCTAAAAACACAAGTCAACAATGCACTGCTGCTTTCCTTGAAGCTATTAAGCTTCAGTGGACAAAGTCTAGGCAGCAACAGAAAGATAAGAAACAACTGACGTGTTAGATTTGGAGGATCAATTACTGATTTTTTATTATTAGTGTAATTGTAAGAACTTTAACCAATGAATAAAACCTTTTTTTTTTTTTTTTTTTTTTTTTTTTTTTTTTTTTTTTTTTTGTGGAACCGGGGATTGAACTCAGGCCCTTGTGCTTGCCAGGGAAGCGCTTATTCCATTGAGCCATCTCCCCAGCCCCTTATTCACTCATTTATGGAGCACATATTATGTATAAAGACTTGGCACCCGACATGGTTGTACAAGCCTGTACTCCAGTACTTTGGGAGGCCGAAGCAGGAAAATGAATATTCAGGGTTGGGTATTACATGGAAGGCAAAATCAGCTACAGATCCTACTTGTCACAATAATACTCGTTGACATAGTAAAAGTGCTTACCACATCCTAGACACTATTATGTCCCTGCTGCAATGACAAAGAAAATGAGGGGCAGAGAGGCTAACTAGCTTAACCGGGGTTGCACGCAATAAAAGCAGAAGGAGAGTTGGAACTCAGGCACTCCAGCGTGCAAGAACTCCATCATAGCCCTTACACCCCACTGCCTCCGGATGTAGCCTCGTGAGGTAGAGATAAGCAATTTCACCATTCAGCAAATGTTTATTGAGCACCTACTATGTGTTAGGCACCAGAACATGCTGGGAATGCACGGCTCAGTGACACAGCGCAGCCCCTGTCCCCATGGAGCTCACAGCCTACAGTTACAGCATAGTGGGGGTGCAGAGGAGAAAAAAGAACAATGTCCACTTTTGACAGTTGAGGAAAGAACCACCTCCCTACACTCTATCTTCCCTTTCTAGCAAGCGCAAGTCTGGAAGGAAAGGAACAGAAGGGGAGGAAAACAGTGCCTCAAAATAATAATAATAATAATAATAATAATAATAAAGTGCCACTGATTCACCCAGAAAGCACTTGAAGAAGGAATTACTAAAACTAAAGACAAGGGGGCCAGAGAGATGGCTCAGTAGAACAAGTACTTGCCTGGTAAGCGTAAGGGCCCAAGTTCAATCCCTGGTTCGGAAAAAAAAAAACAAAAAACTAAAACTAAGGACAGAGACAGGCATGGTGGCAAACACCTGTGATCCCAGCACTTATGAGACTGAAGCAGGAGGAGCCCCAAGAGTTTGAGGCCTTCTTGAGCTACATAGTGAGTTCAAGGCCAGCCTGAACTACACAGTGAAACCCTGTCTCAAAACTTTTTAAGGGCCAGGGAGATAGCTCGGCAGTCTAAGTGCCTGCCTGGCAAGCAAAAGGATTTGGGTTGATCCCCAGTACTGCATGCTGTGCAGCCCCAAAACCGGGTGTGGTGGCGCATGCCTGTAATCCCAGCGCTGGGTAGTCTGAGACAGGAGGATCACTACAAGTCTGAGCTGTGTAGCTAGACGCTGTACCAAATAAATAAAAGATTAAAATAAGAAATAAAAAAGTTTAGGGGCTGGTGAGATGGCTCAGTGGTCTAAAGCACCTACTTGGAACAAGCTTGGCTAAAGCACAGGCACCGCGGTTCAATCCCCCAGCACCACATGCCAGCCCGCCCCGCCCCTGGTGGGCTGAGCTGCCCCCACACACACAATAAATAAATGTAAAAAAAAAAAATAAAAAAAGTTTAATTAAATAAAAAATAAGGACAGAGTCAAGCGAGGTGCTGAGGTAGGTCTTGAAAGTCCTTGTTGAATAAAGACTCTTGTGCCTTTTACTCAAGCTGTGAGAGCTACATGTCAGGCGCTGAGCTAGACCTTGCAAATACAAGTATAAACAAGCCGGGGCCCTGCTCTTCTAGTTTAATGAGGCAGGCAGACCATGAAGCAAGACATGCCTGCACACATGCCAAGGCCGGGGACAGGGCACTGTGCAGGGGCAGACAGCAGGAGGATGCATCTACTCGGAGCACTGACCCAGGGTCAACATGAGTAAGTGTGTGGGGTGGGGCGAGGGATCCGCACTGGGAGAACAGCTTGTACACTGCCCTAGAAATGAGAGAAGGCTGTGACTGCCCTGCTGCTTGGCTTCATTTAACGTCACTACATTGCTGACTGAACTGCCAGATTCCTCCACTGCTCATTCCTAAGATGAGGCGAGGCTCATGGAAACAGATCAAGAGCTCCAGCCTTAACTAGGCCACCTCAGTCCACCCCTGACATCACTGCTGGTATCTACAGTTTCTCTCGCCGTCCAGTCAGTCGCCCAGTCAATCAGCAGGCCCCATGCCAGATGCCAGGGGAATCAGAGGGCTCCACCTGGCCCCCAGGCCTGTGGACGGTGCCAGCCACATCCCCGAATCCTCCATGGAATCCAGCTTGCTGCACAAGGTGCCACTGGGACTACTAAACATAGACAAAAAGAAAATAAATTCACGCGACAGCATATTCACTCTCTCAGCCACACACTCTGCACTGTTTTCTTCCTGCCAAGCCCTCCACTGCTGCCTGGAAGGGCAGTCTTCCCTCATCCTAGATTCTGCCACTAGAAAATGCCAAGCATCTCAGCACGGACAGAGATGGGTGAAGAGCAGGAGTTCTGAGATCAGAATAATCTGGGGGAATCCTTTAATTTGCCTCAAAAGGTAGAATCTGTCATTGGACACTCCGTTGCTTTGTCTGTAGATCGAGACTAATATAATAGCTCTTTCCTTGGGCTCTGTTGAGTGAATGTAACTGGGCTAGGAGGAGAGCAGACAATAAGATAGTTGCGTGGACAGATTATTGTCTACCTTAGCGTTCATGATACGCGCTTCTTTTAGAAATGGCAGGTGAAGTGGAACCACGTCCATGATGATATGAATGATGGTGATTCGAGAATGCTGGTAGGCAGTTGTGTAAGTCACTGTCGGAGTCGCAGCAACCTCCTCCAGCTCAGTCAGCTCGTTCCTGGGGCGGGCCCTGCACAGGACGCGTGTAAGGGATCCGCGGTCCTCGAGACTGGCCCACGCCCAGACCTCCCGAGTGCTGGCCTGCGTCACTCGCGGGGTGACCTGCACCTCCGGGGCGGGACGACACATGGTGGAAACGTGAGGGGGCGGGGTCGGCCCCACGCCACTGGGCCAATCGCCGGCCAGGAGACGTGTAGCCAATGACAGAGGAGCCTAAGGGCTCTGGAGGCGGGGCCACGGAGAGGAGCGGCGGCGTCATAGGTCACTAGGCGGGCTGTGGGCGTGGCCCACGGTGCCTACTGGGGCGGAGCGGCGCCGGCGGCAGCAGTCCGGGCGGAGATGGCGGCTGCTGTGGGGACTGGGACGTCCGCAGCCCCGACTCCGGCGGCCGGCACGGAGGGCGCCTGCTCGGTGCACTGGTTTCGCAAAGGGCTGCGGCTTCACGACAACCCGGCGCTGCTGGCGGCCGTGCGCGGGGCGCGCTGCGTGCGCTGCGTTTACATCCTCGACCCGTGGTTCGCGGCCTCCTCTTCCGTGGGGATCAACCGCTGGAGGTAAGGGGCTGGCGGCTCGCGGGCGGAAGGCCGGGTCAGACGTCCCTTCCGGCCGAGGGAGACGGACAGGGAGGATGGGGAGTCATTCGTCCTCGTGCCCTCCTTGGGCCGGGGCGCCACCCCTGACACAGCCTTTCCGCACTGTCACCCTCTGCGCCCCAGAACGAGCCCGGGGGACAGAGACGGTGGTTCCCCTGGCACAGATGAGACCCTTGAGTCCAGGCTCAAAGTCGGCCTGTCCAGGACTGACAGCCAGTGAGTGGCCCAACGGGGACTCCCTGGGGAGGACTGTAAGGGGCGTGCACAGAGAGAGGCGGAAGGACGGAAGGATGTGTTGTGGTTTGACTGCGGGAATGGGTTTCTGTTCGCATTCCTCAAATGAGCTCATTGCCGAGCTCTTGGAGGTCATCCGTAAGCCACTGATGTATCTGAATTACTCTTTCACGCTGGCTTCCCTCCTGGCTTCCCTCCACTCTGAGTTGGGCTTCGGGTGTCTAGAGACCCTGCTTAGCCTCTGCCAAGGCCTTCTCCCTGTTTTGTACGTAAAGATCCCCAGGGCATCTTCAGGCAGAGGCATTTTATGCCTTGAGCATCAAAGCAGTACTTAACTCATTTTAGAGAATCCCTTCAGCCACTATGACCTTGCTAGAAAAAAAAAAAAAATTAAAGGAACCTAAATGTCACTCCCTTCCGCTTACAGGATAATTAAGTTATAATAGACTATACTTTTATCAGTCGATATGATAAGCATTAGGAGCAGAAAAGCCATGATAGCAAGGGACCCTCTTTAGTGGCTGTGAGGAGATGAAATCCTTTTCCAGGACCAAAGCAAAGATTAATAGGCAGCTGGTATATTTTCTCCATAACTGTATTCAAAACAGAACGTTTTGATACACAGTGTACCCTTCACTCTGTAAGACCCTACGGCAGTGGCTTGGTTTGTTTGCATTGTTCTGAGGGATGTTTGCTCGAGCAGCCTTGTTGCCCAGATAGAACGGTTCTCCCCCCGCCAGATACAGTGACTCTCAGCTCCATTCTTTCCTCTCCAAGGTGTGTGCTCTGCTAAGAGACTGAGTGCTAGCAGTAGGTCTGTTAAAGGTCCCTTCCTGCCCCATTTATATAGAGAGAACAACTAAAGATAGTCCTGTGAAGAGCCTGCCCACACTGTTTTCAGGCTGCTTGATTGCTCTGACTTGCTCCAGTTTCCATAGATAGGAGGTTGGGTTGACAAACATCCTCAAATGACCATCTAGTGTGGACATTAAACCAGGCCTCAGACTTTGGCCCCCTTCTGGCAGCATGCCGACCAGAGCAGACTAGCTAGAATGCAAGCTTCCTGTTTGTTACACTGTCGTGAAGGTGACTCTTCTTTTGCTGGGTTTTGGGGACCATTGCACAGGACTGCCTACTCCTTTGTGACAATGAAGATTAAAAAGCAACAAGAACTGCTGCTGAGTAAAGTCCATTTTCACTTGGAATTGTGTTTATGAATTGCTGTGGGTCACCCTTTTGTGATTGTGCTTTCCGGGGAGTGAAGGAGAAAAGGAATGTAGCAGCTCTGATGCGTGAGTTAAATCTCCAAGTCAGGGCTGTGCGGGAATGCACATATTAAGCTAGTGATTGGTTAACGAATTCCTATTATGTGCCAGACACTGGTGTAGGTGCTCTGAAGGAGCAGCTGTGTGTCTGTGTTTTCAGCGCTGCCAGGGCCTTCGTTTTTAATGGAGAAAGACATCTAAGTAATCATAATTTAGTAGGACTAAGTGCCATGAAAAAATAAAATAGACTAGAGCAATGTCAGTCTCGTTGTGCATTGGAATCACCTAGGGGTCCTTAAAGGAGGCATGCCCCTCCCCCGCCACTTGTTCTGGCCCTGACATTAGGGTTTTGAGGAGCTCATTGCAGCAAAGCTAGAGAAGCACAGACCTCTCCAGGCAGCCCGGGAGGTGTGTTGCCGTGGTACATTGGCAGGAAGTCTAATTAGTGCTGGCATCCTGGAGAAAGGTGAAATAATACAAAACAAATTGAATTGGGTAACTGTGCCCAGGCCTGGCACCAGACAGGCTCCTACCAGCCCCAGTGTTCCTGCTCCCAGATGGATGAAGGCAGGGCGGCCCTTCTGCTTTGTGCCCAGGGTTGGCGGGAGGGAGGTACACTAGTGCCAGCTGACTGTACCTGTGCATAGCTACAATGCGTGTAATCTTCCGGTGGCTCCTCCTGGATCCGGGGAGTGGTCGAGAATTGTGCTGCAGAACACAGCGGCTTGCATCACTCTGTCTGAAAGTTGGAGGTCCCTCCGTAAGAAGTTCAGGAAATCCACATCTGTCTTCTGGTACTCTCCTGCGTGTCCTCACTCCCACACAGCATTTTTCTGCAGGTGGAGTTAGAGGAAAGTGACTGTGGGTGACACTCTAAAGGAGGACAGGAGGAAGACAAGCAAAAAGTATGCATGTTCGCTGGCCTGGAGGGGGCAGCGCTAGCGGTGGTAGGAGACCTTGTGAGCTAATTGGGAGTAGGAGTGCTCTTTACTGTTTTCTCCAGCCCCTTCTTTCTCACATTTGCTGCCTCTGAAGGAGGCACTGTAGCTAGAGCAGAAACAAAGGGAGGGTGTAAGCAGCTTTGGGATTCCAAAGGAGCACTTCAGTAGGCCCTTGCCACTCTTAATTACCTTTCTCCCATTTGCAACTTAGACTAGGTTGGCAACAATTCCTACCACACTTCATTAAAGTCATTTTGTCCCTGGCTTTCTGCTGCATCCCTTTCAGGAGCTTGTGGGACAGAGATTGCTAGTAGAAATACAGTATGCTCTCTCAGCCCATTTCTCTCAGAATTTGTAGAATGGGTAAACTGGGAACTCTTCTCCGAGGCTTGGTGAGAAGGCCTGTCTCTCCCCGTGGGCTGGGAGTGAAACACTGCTAGGCCATTGAAGCGGGTAACTCTTCCGTGGAACTTGGTCATCCAGAAAGGGATTAGGGACTATAGTCTACTACTGGAGGAATCGTGTTTCTCAAAGCCATTTATGTGGTACCCAGGCAAAGTGCTGCCGCCGACAACACATGTCCATTACCCAAGAGGGATAAAAACTTTTATCTTTCCTTTTGAGATGAGGAAAGGATCAATTTTGTTTTGTTTCTAAATTATCCTTTTCATGTATCAAGGGCCTTTAGCTAAAACCTCTGAAGAATACATCTGACTGCCAGTCAACAACGACCCATTTCAGCATGAAGAAGCCAGAGCGGTCTTCGCCCATATTTCCCTTCATGGCAGTTCAGGTTACTTCTTCAGAGGGGGGAATATTGTAGGCAGCCGAATTAGATAAAAATATTATAGGCAGTCAGACAGGGCCAGGCCCTCAAAGGAGACAGCACACAAGATGAGATGCCTTACAACTGTGGGAGGGGCGGATGCTCCTGCTGTGAACCAGACCTAAAGACCTAAAGGCCAAACAAATGCTAAAAGAGTAGCACCTGGGATTGATATTCTAAATAGGTATCAATCACCTGGAAAGACCCAAGTGAGTCACTAGCCCAACCCCCAACAGAGAGAGACCCTGTCCCGCATTCCAACCCCCAACAGGAAAAGACCCTGTCCCATATGTAATCCCATTGTTGACCATAGTTTTGTCCCACCTCCTGCCCACCTAAGTGAGTTCTCATTCTCTCTACCTTAGCCCCACATGGTTTTACACTATAAAAGTCCCTGGAAGAGACAACTTCCCAGGGAACTACCCACTCAGGCCCCCCTCCTGTCCCTCTCTTGGACAGGAGCTTTCTTTCTCTCAATAAATATATTCTGCTCATAAAAAAAAATAAAAATAAATAAATTATCCTTTTCATGGGGTGTACATTTTCTTGATTATGTAGCAGAGATTCATTTATCAATTTATGCTATGTAGCCAGCCTGTGCCAGTCAATGGTTTCATCAATATGGTTAGATAACTTTGGCTGGAAGCAGAGGAACTTGGCTGGGGGCAGTCTGGACCCCAGGGAAGAACTTACTATCATCCTCCCTTCCCCCATTAACAGCCAAGAAAGCCTTTCTCAGAATCTGCCATCCCTAGAGCTGAGTTCCCTGGTAACATACTCCGCGGGAAAATCTGTCTGCTTTATTCTAAAGGGCTAGCCTGCTGGAATACCCAAATCCAGAGTCCTCGGTATTTTTGGAAATTCCAATTTGGTTTTCTCCAGTCTGCCTGCCTCTGGCTCCCGGAGACTTACATAATGTCATTCAGTTGCACATGTTGCCTGAGCCAAAGAGTGAGCTTGAACTGCTCACACAGGACCGTGTGCTTGAATTTAGGCCATGTGAGCTCAGCTTAGAACTGCAGGGGGAGGTGCCAGACCCCAGCACCCCCACCTCCAGGGTCCACGCGGGTTTCCTCTGGATGCCCCGACTGCAGAAGAGAGAAGCTAGCCATGTACAAAGGAGGAGGGCTCCAAGGCACCGCGCAGGTTGGGTTCTGCTGCATGAAAGAATGTGTAGTCCTGTCCCAGTGAGCCCTGCCAGGGAGCAGCTCTGCTCTGGTTCCTTTGACCTTATGCAAGCCTGTCACCTGGCAGGCCTGAAAGGCTGTGCAGCAGTGTGGTAGTGACCTACCAGGAGCCCCTCTGCCCCTGCCTGTTCCTTCCTGGGAGTCCTGCTGAGCCCTCCCTTCCCAGGGCTTATCCCAGGGTAGTTGAGAATAGCAGTTTTTCCCCAGGGCTCGAGAGGTAGAAACCAGGATCTCAGGGAAAGAAGAAAGCAAGCAAGCAAGAAAGTGCACAGTAGATAGGAATCTGAAGCAAGGACAAAAGCCAAAAGCAAAGTCCATTTCCAGAACTGTACAGATGAATCACTGGGTTATCCTGTAAAATGCAGGCTCTAGGTCTGGGATGGAACCTGAGGTTCTGCAGTCCAGCAAGTTCCTGGGTGATTCACAGCCAGCCTCGGGCCTCAGACCACACTCAGGGGACCACACTCGGGATGCTGGCCTTTGAGCTGGACCGTGCTGCTCCCAAATAGCTGAGCCCTGGACCGTGTAGCTTATTGCTCCCTGCACAGCAGGGACAGTGGATCCTGGTGCCCAAGAATGAACACATGATTGGGATGTGGTGATGCCCGCCTGTAATCCCAGCACTCAGGAAGCTGAGGCAGGAGGATTGCTGTGAGTTCAGGGCCAGCCTGGGCTACATGAGTTCAAGGCAGTCCTGAACAACATAGTGAAGCTGTCTCAAGAAAAAAGTGTGGGGCCGGGGAGATGGCTCAGTAGAATATGCACTTACCTGGCAAGCGCAAGGGCCTGAGTTCAAGCCCCGGTCCCTCAAAAAACAAAAAAAGAAAGGAAAAATAAAATGATGCTATGAAATAAATATAAAAAAAGAAAGAAAAAAAAAGTGTAACAAAAGAACAACAAAAAGAGTGAACATACTGACCCAGACAGCTCTATTACCTGGGGTCAAATTCTGGCCACTTAGTAGGTACAAGATGTTGTGCAAGTTATCTTCTCTGTACCTCAGTGTCCTCATCTGTAAAATGGGAATAAAAATAGCGCCCTCTTCATAGTACTGCTTGAGAATTAAATGAGAGCACTTGCAGAGTGGTGCCTGGTACACTTGGATGCTTATTTGATGTGGGGTTAGAATCAGGCCCTCTGCTCCTTCCTGTCCTGGCTAGACATCTCTGTCGAAGAATGAGAAAGCATCTCTTATGTGTGCTAAGAGAAGAGCAGAAAAGCTAAATTAGGTCTAAAAATAAAGTTCTATGGAAGGCAGATTGCAACATGTCCCGGAACCCAGATTCCATGTGCATTGGAGCCTTATTAGAGCTTCAGATTGGAATCCTGGGTAGCCCAGTGGACTGCGCGGCTGGAGGGGCCAGGGAGCCTCAGACGGAGGAGTCTACCCTAAGCTTGGGCAGTTTCAGTTCCCACTTACCCTAGGCACTCTGCCTGAGCTGGTTTCTGGTGGCTAAGTCTATTTTGTTGGTCTGTCACTGTCCCTCTGGGAGGAGTAATGAGACCTAGAGGAGAGGAGGGCACTGCAGGCGTCACCAGTCACCATCACCGTCACACACAGCGTCACACACAGCAGCTTAGCACTAAGTGGGTGTCAGGTTTTCATTAGAGGAATTCACAGAGGTCACCTGTTAGTCTCCCCCTGTTAACCCTGTGTGCTCTGTAGAGTTGACAAGATGCTTTGACCTTGTGGAATGTGGGCCTGCCAGTTTGGCCATTGGATTGTGCCCCATTGTGTGCGTCAGAGGCAGCAGCAGGAGCTGGTTCTGGTTGCAGCCTGGGCATGGTCTCTGTTCTGTAAGCCACCAGGGGTCAGGGAATGTGATGTGCCCCAGAGGAGGTGCAGGGTTTCATTGTGCTGAAAATAAAATCTGGTGACTCCTGTTGACAGAGATCAATGATGCTGGGTTTGAGTGGGAGAGGCCGGAGCTGGATAGCAGGATAGCAGGCTCATCGGAGGACCCATGACACGGGCAGGGTCCACTGCCAAGGCGTGGTCCTGAGGAGGAACAGAAGAATGGCAGTGCGTATCTGAGTGAGGCCTGTGCCCATCCCTGCGCGGGATTCCAAGCTCACAGCCTGGAGTCTCACCCTGGCGTGTGCTGGCATGGCACAGGATAATGAAGCACTGGGTTAATGTGCCTGACCTGGGTCCTATACCAGTTCTGGCACTTACTAAAGCTATGATCTTGGGCAAATTCATTAACCCCTGTCCTTCTCAGTTTCCTCATCTATACCACTGGGAAAGTACAGTTTCCTTCACAGTGCATGGAGAAATTAAATGAGGAAATGCACTTAAAAAGTGTGCAGATACATAATCAAATTGATAATCTTGATTGCCTCTGAGAAGAGAAGCAGGGGAGGACACTTCTTCCTGTGCACACTTTTGTCCCTGAAACACATGAATGGTTATCTGGTTAAAATGTTAATTTATAAATAAATCACTGGAGGTACTCAGCAAAGGTTAATTTCCTGTCCTTCCTCCTGGTGATTCAGCTCTCCTGCAGGGGCTCTTGAATATCCTTCTTGTCCTCCCACCCCAACCCCAGCGTGTTTGTTACTAGGTCCCTTGTCCCTTTTGGCTTGAGAAGTGGGTGGGTGAGTCTTTTATCAAACAGCAGAGGGAACAGGGACCCACCCAGGCTGCGTGTGACTGTGGCATTGGAAGCATGCGGCCCAGAGTGCACACAGGGAGGCAAGGAGGTCGCTGACAGGGTGGGTGGGGCCGGCCCGTGTGCTTCTCTGCTAGGGGATCCGTTGTCTTCCAGTGCAGAGCCCACCGTCTTCTTTCAGATGGCTTTCTCATCCATTCTCTCATGTGATTCTCATACCAAGGCAGATGGTTACACACTGCACACTAGGCTGAGAGAAGGGAGAACGCATCTCTGATCCCTTGGGAGCACAGCAGGCGGTGCAGCTCATGATTGTCCCACTAGTACCTTGGGCCATGCTCTGGGCTAAATGGGCTTTCACATTATTTGGCATCCTTTTCATAGCAAGTCTGAGTACTAACGCATCAGCATCTTTGTTCCTTAGTGCAGAAGAGAGAACAGGCTAGAGAGGTGCCTAGAGCCATGTGCCAAGAGGCGCCAGGCCAGGATCCCCTCCCAGGCTGTGCTGACCCCGATTCCTCCCTCCCGGGCTAGAACCCATCCCTCTGGCTCTGCAAACCTTTGTTGGACACAAAGCAGGCCAGTTTCCTCCTGCCTTAAGGAAAGAGCCCTCTGCTAGGCGACCGCTGACAAGGCCTGTGTGGCCCCTGCAGGTTTCTGCTGCAGTCTCTGGAAGACCTGGACACGAGCTTAAGGAAACTCAACTCCCGCCTATTTGTGGTCCGGGGACAGCCAGCAGAAGTGTTCCCAAGGCTATTCAAGGTGAGTGTGTGGGGCCCGAGAAGATGGGGAGACGCTGCTCCTGTTGCCAGCAGATGCACTGCTCTGACTGAGGAAATGAAACTGGTGGGGCTGGCAGGGCCATCAGAGGGCTGCTAGAGAAGGGGAAGCAGAGGCAGTCACAGAGCTTGCCTGCAGGATGGAAAGACTTGTGCGAAGCCAGTGTCTTGTTGGAGAGCTCCCAGCTCGTCCAGCCGTGCAGTGCAGTAAGTCATTGCTCCCAGGGCCACTGGCTTGCTTAGATGCTTTCTTGGCTCAGGCCAGTAGACGTAATCAGGTTCCTGCTGTGCCAGGACTTGGAGGGTGGAGTTTCCTGTCTAGCAAGGGCTGTTTCCCATCTTGCTTTGCTCTGCTTCTGGAGAGAAAAGTTGCCTTTCCAAGGGAGCGTCTGTTTCCTCCCAGTGATAAAATCTTCACTGCGGGACGCCACATAGACTTCTATGTGCCCTGTGGGAGCGGCAGCCTGTTCTCTCCCAGTCCTTTAAAAACTGTTTAGAGACAAAAGTACTCATAGGCGGAGGGCTGCAGGGCAGCCTCTTCATCCTTAGCAGCACATGCTAGTTTTTATGCCCCTCCGCCCCAGGTCCATGGCAGGAGAAGCCTGATGTCAAGGCAGACAGCTTCATAAATATGTCATCGTTCCCTTCTCTCCCTGCACCCCCAGTTACCCACGTGTGTACAGATCACTCGGCACTAGTAATTGTTCACATCTGCTGGGGGCTGACACTGAGTCCAGACCATGTGGAGAGCTGATGCACTGACCCCCTCCCCCTGCTTCCCCTCCAGGCAGCTCTTGGGGCTGGCACCATTGCGTCTATTTTACAGGTGACAAAACAGTCATGGTCACAAAACTAGTAAGCCACTGACTCCAGAGCTGTGTCCTTGCCGCCATACCGAGCAGGACGTTTGCTGGGCTGGGGCATAGTCCAGTGGTAGATTGCTTGCCTGGCAGCCCTCAGCTGGCATTGCTCTCTAACACTGGGAAAGAAGGGTTGCCTCTCACCCTTCCGCATTGCCCCTCTTCCCAGCACCTCGGAAGCCAGCCCAGTTACGGCTAAGAAGATAGACTACTCATTGCTTCAGTCATTCGTTACTTAGTGAGCTTTGCTATGTCCTAGGCCCCATATCAGATAGCAGGGTAACGGTGATAAGTGAAACAGCATAGTTTCTGCTGAGTCCCCACTCTAACGGGAACCAGGCAGGTGACAGGCAACTTCAGTGCCATGAGATAAGTGCTCTGTTGGAAATAGGACAGGGCTAGGAAGAATCGGAGGGAGTCATTTACTAATGGTATTGTTACCATTCTCAGGGGTGTAGCAAGTACTTAATGGTGTAGTCCTGTAAGCATAGTACTTGGCCTATGGGAAGTGCTCAGTAAATGTGTAGTGCTTTCTTCCTTGTGTGGGAGCTTGTTCATCCTGCCGAGGACCCATTCCCACCCGCAGGGCTGCATCAGGACCAGACCAGCCTGGCCATGCCTGGGACACTTGTTCCCTGGGTACAGAGCCTTAAGTGACCATGAATGACTGCAGACCAGTTAGAGTATGTTTTTCTTCTTGCTAGTTACCAGCTCTGAGTGGGGCTAGAGGTGTCCCTATAGGCTTTCAGTGGCCCAGCTTTCTTTGGGGTTGCTGAGAGACTTAGACATCTCTACCAGAGGTGACTGAACACTTGGAATTCCCTTCTCCACCTTCGGCTACTCTGGTCTGATTTCTCCCAACCCTGGACTGGCTCTTGTTCCTCCTTCCCAAGCCAGAGAGCTGGATCCGATTAGCTCTGTTTGCTCCTGGCCTCAGTAGTGTTGCTGTGGAAACCATGAGGACACTTCACATAGCATGAGATTGCCAAGAAAACTAGGCCACAAGTTTGCAGGCTCTGAGGAGTCCTGGGAAAGGCTTACCGAGCAGACGGAAGGTGGCGGTCCTGTCCCCTGCTGCCTCCACTGTGAGTCAGTGCCTCTTTCTGGACAGGGCCTCCCCTGGGAGCCTGTATTTATAGCTTTCTACTGTGTTCTCCTACTCCAGACACCCTCCTCTCCTGACACTTTCACTGTGCCACTGGCCTCGCCTCGCGGGCTGCCTCCTCATACTTTCTCCACCTTGGTGCTTGTTCACTTTAATTAGCATCCCTCAGGGCTGGGGCCATAGCTCAGACGCACGGAAGCGCCTCCCTGGCAAGTGCAAGGCCCCGAGTTGGATCCCTGATCCCTGGCCCTGTGTGCCATACCAGCCCTGGATCCCTGGGCACGCCATGCCAGCCGCGGAACCAGGCGCAGTGGTGTGCACCTGTAATCCCAGCACTTGGGAGGCTGAGACAAGAGGGTCACTACAAGCTTGAGATCAGCCAGGGGGCTACATAAGTGAGCACACGGCCAACTTGAACTGCGTAATGAGACCCTGTCTCAAAAAAAAAAATCAGTGTCCCTCATGTGTTCTGCAGCCATTCTGCCAGAGCTGGCAGCTGGCTCCATCTTCTCCCAGGAAGGAGCTCCTACCCAGTGTCCCCTACTTCCCCAAACAGTGCTGAGCATGACAGTCTTTCCCCGCAGGAATGGGGGGTGACCCGCCTGACCTTTGAGTATGACTCGGAGCCCTTTGGGAAGGAACGAGATGCAGCCATCATGAAGATGGCCAAGGAGGCTGGTGTGGAGGTGGTGACTGAGAACTCCCATACGCTCTATGACCTGGACAGGTAAGGGAGGGGCACAGGGTCAGGTGGCCCACCCTGAGGGCTGGGGACTTGGGCCCCTGCTGAGTGGAGCTCTGGGAAGATCAGCCATAGGGCCACTGGCTCCTGGGCTATGGCACTTTCTGAAGCCAGGGCCTCTAGAGCAGTTCACAGGGAGCTGAACCTGATTTGAGTGGCAAGAAGGCTAATTAGGCCAAGGTACGGAAGCAGTAAGGGCTCCTCAGGGTCTTCATAACTGTCCCCCACTCACTGCTCCAGTCCCGTTTGTGCTTTGTGCACCCCCCTCCTGTCGTGCTGCTCCGTGCTGCCCTCTGTCCTCGGCACCTGCTGCCTGGGACCCCTCCCAGCAGATCCCTGATCTCATAGGTCCAGTGTCTGTACCGAGGGTGAGTTCCTCCAGCCCGCTGGCCCTCTGGGTTTCCAGGCCATGCAGCTCAGTGTTGTTTGGCAGGCTCTGGAGATATCTGCAAGGACCTGGTAACCACAGAGCAACTGCCTTCCAGTGACAGACCTCTGTGCCTCCTCCTCTTTCTCCTGCTGCTGCCAAGCTGGCAGCCACCCCTACTCCCTGCCCCCTCTCCGTGACTGGGCCACCCGCCAGGAGGCTGGGTCACACAGCTGCGCACGTGAGGGCCTCAGGAGGAGAGGTGGGGTGCGGAGCTCTTCCTCCAGCCACGTGCGAGCTGGGAGGACTGCAGAGCAGGGCCAGCCGTCTTGCTCGGTCATGGAGCGCCCGCGCAGCAAGCTGACAGGAAGCAGCTCGCCAGCCGGCTGGGTCTTGCATAAGCTGCCTCTTGGCCAGCAAGAGCCCAGGATCTGGCTGCAAACCCTTGCACTTCTCCTAACATAAACAGCCTTCATCTCATCTTCACCTCCCGCATCTCCTTTTGCTTCTTGCATGAGTGCAGTTAGTTGACCTACTCATGGAAAATACTTTGTGACTGCGAAGCTCTGGAGGTATCAGTTGTTGCTGTTCCTCCTGCACTAGCCTCTGCTCTGACAAGCAAGGGCCAGCAGGAGGAGGGTCTCCCTAGAAAGGAGCATGTTCGCAGCTCCACACCCACTTCTCCAAGGCTCCCGCTGGCAAAGAGAAGGCCATGGTGGGGTCAGATAGGCCAACGACAGAGAAGGCCAACGGGGACTTTTCTGTGGTTAGAGAGACACGGTCAGTCTCTGTCTTTAGGCGGCTCCAAGCGGACACCAGGGAACCTGGCGTTGAGTCCCAGCTTTGGCCCTGCCTTGCTCCATTATCAGAGGCTCCTGCTCCAGCTCTCTGGGCTTCATTTTCCCTCTCGGTAAAATGGAGATGCAGCCCCCACACCCCCCCTTTCCACTTGGGTGGGACCTGTGAGCGGATGAGGAGAGCCGCCCCCAAAGCCTTCCGAGTTGGGCTCTTTCTGGGTGGTCAGGGACTCGGAGCAAAGGGCCTTGGAAGTGATGCCAGTGTGTTTTGGGTCCCCAGGATCATCGAGCTGAACGGGCAGAAGCCACCCCTCACTTATAAGCGCTTTCAGGCCATCATCAGCCGCATGGAGCTGCCCAAGAAGCCAGTGGGCGTGGTGAGCAGCCAGCAGATGGAGGGCTGCCGGGCGGAGATCCCGGAGAACCACGACGACACCTACGGCGTGCCCTCCCTGGAGGAGCTGGGTGCGTGCGTCCTCCCGGGCCCTCCATGTCGCTTCTTTTGTTCATGGAAAGCAACTTATTGCAGTTTTCTTCTTTGTCAGATTAATGCATGTTATTATAGAAGACTTGTGAAATACAGAGCAACCAAGTGGAAATGCCCTCTGTTCTCCCACCCCAGTGACCACTTTAGCTTGGAGGGTGTCCTTCAGGTCCTATTGCTGCGCATACCCATGCAGTCTTCCGTTTCTGGCCCCTGCCTCTTTAGTGCTCGCCCCTCAGACAGCGGAAGACACCCTCCGCTCAGGTGTCTGTGGGCCTCTCAGCAGACGATGATCAGTGCTGTCCGACCCTCGATCTGAACAGTTAGCCTTTCTGACTTGGGACCATACTCATTGCCTGCTCATGTGAGAGGGCAACAAGTCCAGAATTGTTCTGATCTGCCTAGAATGATGAGGGGCTGGGAGAGGGGAGGCACAGAAACAGGAGGAAATAGTGACACCTGGAAGAGAATGGAGGTGACCTAGAATCTGTTGGTGTCAGAAGCAACAAGAACTGTGGTTCAGCCCGTATAGAGTATAAAGAGCAGGTCTGTGTGTCTGAGCTATGAGCAGTGGCTGAAGCGGCCTGACCTCCAGGCTGTGACTGGCTTCTCCTCTTACAGGGTTCCCCACAGAAGGACTTGGCCCTGCTGTCTGGCAAGGAGGAGAGACAGAGGCCCTGGCCCGCCTGGATAAGCACTTGGAACGGAAGGTATGAGCCTTGAGCTCATGGTGCTGGTGCCCGTGCAGCAAGGGATGTGGTGTGGGACTGTCTCTTGGTGCTTCTTGGCACAGCTGGGTAGAAAGTGAAAAGCTCTTCCTTGTGGCAGAAATAGCGACCACAAAAGCAGCAGCAATCGCAGCCACTGTTTAGAGCCCTTCCCTCCTGCTGGGTGGTGCATTTCTGGGTGAAGCACCTGCCTTTAACATTTCCAACAGCCCTGTGAGGTAGGTATTACGTGCCCCATTTTGTAGGCTACAGAAGTGAGGCTTAGCAAGGTGACTGACTAGCCTGGGGCCACACAGTTGGTGAGAGGCAGTGAGACACTGACTGGTCGGTGGGAAGCAGGCACCAGGCTGCCTTTCTCGTGCAGTATTTGTGGGCAGGCATGCTGTACTAAGATGGTGTCTGCTCACAGAAGTCTGTATGATTATTCTGTGTTAATGTTTGCCTGCCCCTCGTGCTGGGTCTCCTCCAGGGCTTGTGCTGGAGGCACCCCTCAACCACGGCACACAGGTGGTGTCTCCCCCATAGTGCTTTTCTCCTTTCCTAACCCTAAGGGCATCTTTTTTAATGACAGAACCAACAGTTCCGTCAGCTGCGCCAAGTCACGGGAGTGGCGGAGGGGCAGGGGGGAAATGACAAATGGAATGGCAGAATAAAAGTGTAAAAATGTAAAAAGTGGGCCGGGGCCCTAGCTCAGCAGCATAGCGCCTGCCTGGCAAGCATGAGATCTTGAGTTCAAGTCCCAGGACCAAAAAGGGGGGGGGGGAATATATATATATATATATGTATATAGAGAGAGAGAGATTGAGAACTAGCCTTTATCCTCATAGGTTGTAGTTTTTTCACCTTAAAGGCATTTTATAAAGCATTCCCCCTCAGATCACCAAGTCAGGAGTTGTTTTCCCCCATGCCCTTGGAGGACCCCTTCTGTCATAGAGCCTTATACCATGGACCCATCTGCCCCCGGAGTGGCCAGAGGAAATACTGTGCCTTTCATATCTGAGAGAACAGAGCTGCTGAGTGAATGGGAGTTGAATCTGTTCGGGATTTTTGAACTATTCAGTCTCCAGATCCGATGTGAGCAGCCTCTTACACCAGATGTCCTAGCTGCCACAAAGGCTGCCCAAAGGATGGCAGTAGAGTATCTCCAGAGTCTGCTAAAGATGATGACATAAATGAGTGATGAAAGATGCCCTTAGGGGGGTAGAGAGCTAGCTCAATGGTCTAAGAGCCTGTCTGGCAAGCACAAGGACCCAGGTTCGATCCCCAATACCGCATGCAGCACCCAGATCCGAGACCAGACATGGTGGCACACACCTGTAATCCCAGCACTAGGGAGGCTGAGCAGGAGGATCACTATGAGTCTGAGCTGCATAGTGAGACCCTGTGACAAATAAATAAATACCAAAAAAAAAAAAAAAAAAAAAAATGCCTTTAGAGTTAAGAAAGGAGAAAGGCACTATGGAAATAAAGAGCGTGAGGCTCAGAGCAGTCAGTTTAGTTTGCAGCTGGCTTTTGAGAAGAGGTCTTTAATGCATACAGTCAGGAGTCCAAGTGGGAGCTTTCAGGCCCAGCTGGGCTAGGGGTCCAGGGAATGCTGTTGGGAGGCATCTGCGTCTCAGCTACGCTCTCCTTGTGTTTTGGTCCATTCTCAGGCAGACTTTCCTTGAGTAGTGGCAAAGGTGATCACCACACATGCTGTCCATGGGTTTGACAACAGCAGAGGAAGGCGTGTGCCTCTTTCCCAAGACCCTTAGAACATGCCAGGGAGTGCTTCCATCAGCTGGCCTTGGCATAGAACTTCCCAGACTCAGCCAGTGTGGCTGGGGTCTTTTCCTGGCGTTGGGAGTAGCCTTAGCTCAGCCGAGTCAAGCTGCTTCTCCACAAGAAAAGAGGTGCTCTTAGCAGAGGAGGGCGGCCAGCTGTGTGATCTACACTTCTGGGCTACCCATGGTGGCTGAGGACAAGGACCCTGCCCAAAGCTCTTCTCATTATGGAATGCAGCCCCCAGTGACACATTGTACATTAGTGACCGTCAGCCCCACAGACAGAGACCTCCAGGCCGTGTGTGCCCTATAGACTTCCCAAAGGGTCCAACCCAGGCCCAGCGGACCTCTGCTATGAGCTACCCATTTGTGAGCCAGTACAGCATGGAGTAGGGCCAGTGAGCTAACTCAGTGGACTAAGCACCTGCTTAGGCAAGCGCAAGGACCCGGATTTAATCCCTGGCACCACACGTTGTGGCAGCCACAGACTCTAGACATGGTGGCGCACACCTCTAATCCTAGTGTGGGGAGGCCAAAAACAGGAAGATCACTGTGAGTCTGAGCTGCACAGTGAGACCCTGTACTAAATACAAAAAAAAAAAAAAAAAATCACAGGACAGAGGGACTCACTGCACTTACCATGGGTGTCCATCCAGTCAGAACATCCAGCCTGAGCATCTCCACCAGTCCAGTGGCCTGGCTTCTTCCACAGAATGATACAAAGGAGAAGACAGAGGTCACAGAGGCATAGTACTAAACAGCCCCAACTTAATTAGGAGTGGTCTAGTCATGGTCCACAGTCGCCTGACTCCAAGGCAGGGCAGTACAGCAGAGGCCTACTGGAGGAAGAGCTGTTCATGTTATGGCACCAGGAAACAGAGAGAAAGGCAGAGCATGGAGAGAGACTCTCAGCAACCCCACCTCCATCAGCCCCTGCCCAACCACCTTCCAGAAGCCCTGCCTGTGAGCCCACGAAGGAAGCCCTTGGGACATTCTCCATTTAAACCATAATAGAATTAAAACTAATTGCAGTTGTTTAGGTACCAGTACTAAACTATAGCATGTAGGGGTGCACGGAAACATTTCAGACGTTCAGGAAATAATTGTAAAGTCTGGGTCAGAGTCTTTCGGAAAGAGGAGACCATTCTGGAATGTTGGGCAAAGTTCCTGAACTTTGATGGTGGTTGCATGGGTGTTTGCCTTGGAAGAACTCATGAAGCCTCATGGTTGTGTGGGTTTCTGTCTGTTCCGTTTAAAATAAAAGATTGAAACAATATGAGGTTGGACATTGAGGCGGCCTGTGCTGGGCCAACAGAGACACCCAGCGTCCGCGCCAGTGCTTAGGTGGAGACCTGAAGGAAGAAGTAGCTGCCCAGGTAGCAGTGGGAGAAAGACAGGCTGCAGGTGCAGGGTGTGCGGAAAGAAGAGCAGTGACAGGCAGGGCTGAGGGTGGGGTCTTCTAAGCCGAGTGAGCTGTGCACTGGATTTGGGCCTCTGTCCTAAAAGCAGTAGGATTACCAGGTCTCAAAAACAGACAGGGGCCCCAGGAGATGGCTCAGTAGAGCACAAGGGCCTGAGTTTAATCCCTGGTTCTGCAAAAAAAAAAAAAAAAAATCAAACCTAACATGAGTTTAAGAAGAGCATGTTAGGCTCAAGGCAGCCAGGTAGAGCCATCTGGGTTAGAACAGGGACTGGAGCCATCTGCGTGAAAGCTGTGTTAAGTACAGAGAAGTGGTATTGGAAGCTGTCCACTGGAAGAGCTAGGCAGAGTCTAGGGCTGCTGACTTTAAGAGCTGAGTAGAAGCCAGGCCTGGCCGTTCAAGGCCAGCTTGAACACACAAGGGAGACCTTATCTCAAGTAAAGAAGGGCTGGGTAGAGGAGACAGAGCCTGTGAAAGGCTCAGAGCAACCAGTGCTGTGAGGCAGCGAGGAGAGCATGCAGTCAGTGAGGCCCGAGGAGCGGAGGTGAGTGAGACCTCAGCAGGCAGCTGCTGAGAGACCCTAAAGTACATGGACAGAAAGTGCAGGATTCAGGGCCTGCAAGTCAAAGGCCACTCTGGCTAGAGCTAGCCAGCCACTTGGGCTAGAAAGGAAGGAGAGGGGCAAGGGAGAGGCCAGCTGCCAAGGGGGAAAGAAGGCCTAGGATGAAGGCCCATGGGGGCCAGCAGGCCTCTGTTCTTGGTTTGCTTTAGTCTGGCTTGCAGAGAGGAGCAATTTGATTGCTCTTCAGGTGCTGTGGGGATGGGAGCTGGAGAGGGAGTGGGAGCCCAGCGGGAGCGGAGTGGAAGCTGCCAGAGAAGGAAGGGGCTATGACAGCAGAGCGGGAGGAAGAGAAGCAGGAGGGGCTGGCCGTGGCTGATCCCACCTCCTGGGTGCTCGGCAGAGGAAAGGATGAATCCGGGAAGGGTGCGGCAGGTGGGGGCCTCCAGAGGGGGCCAGGGTGTCGGGAGGTGAAGGGAAAGTAGTCCTCCATAAACTGTAATGCGGGGTCAGAGCCCCTTGGAACCTGCAGAGAGCAGAGACAGGCAGAGATGGAGCCCTTGAGCCTCCCTTCCTTGCTGTCAGGAGTTGGTGGTACAAGCGCTGCTCGCTGCCCAGGACCTGAGGGTGGGTGAGAATGCAAGGAACCTGAAGCAGGAAAGTGGAGCATAATGTGAGGGCTATTGATGAGAACACAAGATCAGTAACATTAGCTGGCAGGCCCCAAAATAAAGGCCTCTGTTGGTCCCCAGAAATGGGTCAGGAGTTCCCTGCTTCCCTGGCCACGCACATGTGCACGCTGAGCAGTGCTGAGAAGTTGCTTTATGTCCAGGGTACATTAGCAGCCTTCAGGCCTGCGGTAAGAGCAGGAACAGAGCTGGAACGCACCCATCCTGTCGAACAAGAGGCTTTGCTCTCTTCCAGATAATTATAGCTTATTCAGTACCTTCAGAATTCTCTCATATCTCATTTAATCCCCAGAGATGGGAAACTTTGCTCTTATTTAATAGATATGTAGCCAAGGGACTAAATAACTCATTCCCTGCGAACCAATTTCTTTTCTTAGAGCCAGGGATATAGCTCAGCAGCACAGCACCTGCCTGGTAAGCACAAGGTCCTCAGTTTGATTCCTGGTATACAAACAACCACAAACAAACCAATAAAAAGTAGTTTCTTTTCTTTCTTTCTGGAGGGGTGAGTGGGTGGTACTAGGTACTAGGGATTGGACCCACTCCTTTGTACTGAGCTTCATGCCCACTCCCTTTTATTTTTTAACTACTTGTTTATTTATTTTTAATGCATGTATTTGGTACAGTGTCTCATTACGCAACTTGAACTCGTAATGATCCTCCTGTTTTCGGCCTCCTCAGTGCTGGGATTACAGGGGTGCACCACCACGTGCAGACTGGGTCACCAGCTCCATGCACCTGGGGGTGGGGCTGGCGCGGCATATGGTACCGGGGATACTGGCCCTTAACCGGCTGAGCTAACTTGCCGTTCCTATTTTAACTTTTTAAAGGCTTGCTAAAGTTCCCAGGCTGGGTTAGAACTTGCAATCCTCCTGCCTTAGCCTCCCAGAGTGCACCACTACACCTGGCCTTGGGCCACAAACAAGTAGGGAGCTAGGCCAGGTGTCTGCCTGGCGGTTCCATCTCAGTCTGAAACACGAAGCAGAAAAATGCTCAGTGTTCAAGTCCTGATCTGGTGGCTTACTGTCTATTGGCCAAATCATTTCCTACCAGGGCCTTTTGTCATCTTTGCCCTGTCCTGTAGGCCTGGGTTGCCAACTACGAGAGACCCCGGATGAACGCCAACTCCCTGCTGGCCAGCCCCACAGGCCTCAGCCCCTATCTGCGCTTCGGCTGCCTTTCCTGCCGCCTCTTCTACTACCGTCTGTGGGACCTGTATAAAAAGGTGAGCACAGTGGACTGCACGCCCTCTCCAGTCCAGCCAAGAGGGCAAGGCCTGCTGGGCAACAGCCTGCAGAAGGCCCTTCCCTGCAGGTCCTAGGCCTGGTCCACGGGAATTGGGGATGTGTAGGTTTCTAAGGAGGAAGAGTCAGGTGCACTGCAAATCACGAATCTAAGTAAGCCCTCCTTTCCACATTGTGTGGACACACAGAAGGAAAGCAGGCCTCAGAATGTAGCCATAGAGGTGGCAGGTCTGTTGGCAGCAAGGTCCTCAAGAGTGAGAGCACAGAGAGGGAAGCCAGAGCCAGCCCCCCATAGGAGGGCGCAAGGGTGAGGGCGTGACTACAGGGGCCGCGTGCTTGGCCGTGCCGCGGGAACAAGAGCAGATGGCCCTGTGGCAAGCCATCCAGGGGAGAGGAGAGCATGCCCGGCCTCCCCATTCCTCAGATCAGCCACTGTCTGTGTCTTTTACTGTCATTTCTCTGTCTTTGCCAGTGCAGGGCTGGTGGGAGTCTTGTGACTGCAGGAAATGGTTACTCACGTGGAAGTCAGATCTCTTGATTCATCGTGGACCCAGTTGCAGAGTATATGATATCACTTATTTAGCCAGATCTAGACTGAGCATTTTTCTTGTGTGTGCTGAGACAAAAACTCCCTTGGGCTTTCTAGAAAATGGAGCCAGCCAGGGAACAAGGACCAGGATCATGAGCAGTCTCAAAGAGTTTGGGGCCTGTGGTGGATTTCTGCAACAGTGTCCCTCTCTTGGCACCCCTGTAGCCGTTCTTCACATTCAGAGCAGTGGGTTGGCAGGCAGGAGCTGAGGGACGAGTTTGTTGGCACTTGATAGCTCTTGTTCTTGGGGATGGTCCTGCTGCCTGTCCAGGGTGGTGGGGTGAAGCCGCCAAAAGTGTGGGGGCTCCATATTCTTTCATGGATGAGACCCAAGTGACACCATGGAGCTGCGAGCTTGCAGGTGTTTACAGCTGGGTCAACCCACACCCAGGTGAAGCGGAACAGCACCCCGCCCCTCTCCCTGTTTGGGCAACTCCTATGGCGAGAGTTCTTCTACACGGCAGCCACCAACAATCCCAGGTTTGACCGCATGGAGGGGAACCCCATCTGCATCCAGATCCCCTGGGACCGCAACCCTGAGGCCCTGGCCAAGTGGGCCGAGGGCAAAACAGGCTTCCCTTGGATTGACGCCATCATGACCCAGCTGAGGCAGGAGGGCTGGATCCACCACCTGGCCCGGCACGCCGTGGCTTGCTTCCTCACCCGCGGAGACCTCTGGGTCAGCTGGGAGAGCGGGGTCCGGGTGAGTGACCTCTCAGTAACTGCTGGCCTATCCCCAACTCAGGCCAGCCAGGGCACCCCCTCCAGTCCGGGGATGGGATGGGATCCCCGAGTCTAGGCGATTCCCCTCTAAGCCCTCTGTGCCCTTGGCAAAAGGGCTCTGGCTCCTTGGGGTGCTAGGGTGACTTGGGAGGAACTGGGGCAGGGGGCCCCCAAGGAGACTAAGCGTGCCCCTCCCTTGTCTAGGTATTTGATGAGCTGCTGCTCGACGCAGACTTCAGCGTGAACTCAGGCAGCTGGATGTGGCTGTCCTGCAGTGCTTTCTTCCAGCAGTTCTTCCACTGCTACTGCCCTGTTGGCTTTGGCCGCCGCACAGACCCCAGTGGGGACTACATCAGGTAGGATGCAGGCCAGGCCATCTGGCTTCTGACCCCTGTGGCCTCTGCCTAGGAGGGAGGGGCTGGGGGCGCTGACAGACCATCCTGTGTGTTATAGGCGATACCTGCCAAAATTGAAAGGGTTCCCCTCCCGGTACATCTACGAGCCCTGGAATGCCCCCGAGTCCATTCAGAAGGCAGCCAAGTGCATCGTTGGGGTGGACTATCCACGGCCCATCGTCAACCATGCCGAAACCAGCCGGCTCAACATTGAGCGGATGAAGCAGATCTACCAGCAGCTTTCACGCTACCGGGGACTGTGTAAGGAGCCGCTGCCCACCCCATCTCCTAGCTCCCAGAGTGTATGTAGGCCAGCACTGCAGGCACAGAGGGTAGATGGGACTCTCAAGGTGTCTGCTGCAGGAGCCAGGTACCCTCTGCCAGGCTGCGAGGTTAACCTGACATCTTGGGACAGGACCTTGAGGGCTGGACTGGATCGGACCTCCTGAATACTGGGGGGGCAGGGGAAGAGATGCATCCTCAATGTCATGGTCCTGTCCCCTACTGCCTGTTTCTTTTGCCCTGCAGTCTCCTGGGAACTGATTATTTCTCCCCCCACCCCAGGTCTGTTGGCGTCTGTCCCTTCCTGTGTGGAAGACCTCAGCCACCCTGTGGCAGAGCCCAGCTCAAGCCAGGCTGGGAGCAGCACCAGCACGGGTGAGTGGCAGCAGAGGGGCTGCGGCCAAAATGAGCACTCGCCGGTGGAGCTTGTGTTTGCCAGGCAGGCAGGTAGTAAGGAAGCCAGGAAAGACCAATTCAGAGAAAGGGTGCTGAGCTCAGTAAAGGGGCTGGAGGGAGGGCTCATTGGGATCTTGTTTTATTTTTTTAATTTTATTTATTTATTTATTTTTGGCGGAACCAAGGATTGAACTCAGGCCCTTGTGCTTGCCAGACAAGTGCTTGTTCTTACTGAGCCATCTCCCTGGCCCCGCCATCTCCCTGGCCTCTCATTTTATTTTGAGACAGGGTCTCACTGTGTAGTTCACACTGGCTTGAACTCACCATGGAGCCCAGGCTGGCCTCAAACTTGTGGCCATTCTCCTGCCACAGCCTCCTGAGTGCTAGGATTAGAGGGATTTACCCCACGGCTGGCTCCTTTGGGTCATCTTAGAGGGGAGCTGCCAGGGAACACCTCTCTGAACAGTGGCTTATTCCCTACATACTAAGCAGGAGCCAGCCCTTCCTAGAGCAGCAGAAAGAATATTCTAAGCAGAGGCAAAAGCAAAAATGGCTCAGAAACAGGAATAAACAGATCCCATCCACTGGACAGGAAGAGAGGCCAGTGTGGCCATGTGGCAGTGTTGGTACGAGGGGCTGAGGCCAGCTCCTGTCACTGCGATAGTGTCTTCTGGGCACTCAAGTGTGGCGTGACCCACAGAAGCTCCCACAGCCACTGCTGCTGCTGCGTGGGGCAGGTGGTGTGGGGCAGGTGGACAGGAATGTGAGGAAGGCAGCTGTGGTGTCCATGTGGGAGGCAGAGGCAGTGGAGAGGCAGGTGTGCTGCGTCCTGAGGCCTCCTGCATCTCTGGGGTGATTGGTACAATAATGCACAACATGTGGAGTCCAGAGGTCTTTCCAGTCTGCCTGCCACACCAACACTAAGAGTGTGGCCTGCGGGGGTTGCCACTCTTCAGGCCATTCCAGGCTTGCATAGGGGATGTCTCACCTTCAGAGCAAGGGAAGTGGACAGGCTGAACAGTCTCAGGTTTGGAGCCCTCAGGGTTGGGGGCCAGAGCTGGCCCTGCTACCAACAGGCCTGGCCAGCCCTTCTCAGTATCTCCAGGCGAGGTCACTGCTACAGGAGAGCCAGGCTGGGTCCTAGGCCTGCCTGGCCCAGAGGAGTGGGGGAAGAATGGGCTTCCAAGAGGGGGTAGAGCCAGGCACATGGCAAATCACCAATCTAAAGAAACCCTCTTCTCCCCGCTATGTGGACGCACAGGAGAAAAACAGCCCTCAGGGTGTGACTAGCTGTGACAGATCTGTGGCACCAGGTGGTGGGGCAGGGTCCTTGGAGCATGGGGGAAGGGTACTGCTGGAGCCAGTCCTAAGCGCAGAAGGGTACAGGGGTAGAGGGAGTGGCTGGAGGGGCTGCAGGCTCCCGTCCCGAAGAGCACTGCCACACAGCCCGGGCCTCTGTGGCTGGACACACCATCTCTGACCCCTTCCATGCTTCCCCGCAGGACCTAGGCCACTACCCAGTGGCTCAGCATCCCCCAAACGCAAGCTGGAAGCAGCTGAGGAGCCACCCGGGGACGAGCTCAGCAAACGGGCCCGGGTGGCAGAGCTGCCCACCCCAGAGCCGTCAAGCAAGGATGCCTGAGAGTGAGTGACAGCAGGACAGAAGGTGGGGTGAGGTGGAACTTGCTTTGGAAACCACGGCTAGACACAGATCTGGCAGAGGCCTGCATGATGGTTAAGACTTCAGCTCAGAATTGCTACCAGTCTGACTTTTATACCTTAAAAAATTTGAAAGGACATTTGAAAGTTAAAGCCCTTGGTTTTGTTTGCCAGCAAAAGGACCCAACATTTTTCTTTTTTTCTAGACCAGGGGATGGAACTCAGGCCCCTGAGCTTGCTCCACTGAGCCATCTCCCCGGCCCCAGGACCCAACATTTTGAGTGCTTTCTGCCTGTTAATGTGACATCATGACTTTGTAGCCCTGTCCCAGACCACCTGTATTGTGTGGGCAGCCAGCGGGGGGCAGCATTGACCTTCAGAAAAAGAGACCAGCTGTGCAGGCTAGCCGCCCTCTAAGAATGGTGGCCCCAGCCCCTTCCCAGGCGCTCCTCCTCCCTCGCCTCTCCCCGGGCTGCAGCTCTGCTCCTCTCTCTCAGCACACATCTTTGGAAACGTCTTGAATGTCATACTACACATCTCCCTTCCCCAAAGCGTGTTTATGCCTTTCTCAGGAATTAGAAATTGCTGTTCTCTGAGTTGCCCTGCCAGGCTGCATCTTAAGGGCCAGTTCTGCACCAGCAGGGTAGAAAGTGACTTCTCAGTGGAGCTGTTAGGTTGTCCTTTCTACCAAATGGTGTTTTTCCTTTTTTTTTAGCGGTAATTTTTTTTTTTTTTTTTTTAACTGAGGACCCCGTGCTTGCCAGGCAAGTGCTTATTCTACTGAGCTCTCTCCCCGGCCTGGGTTGTCCTTTCCAGATCTGTCTCACCTCCAGTCACATCAGGCTGTCTGCTTGGAATGTGTAGGTCTGTGTCCTCAAGGAGACAGCAAGTGGTTGTTCATGGTCCAGTCTAATCTACCTTTTTGTTTGTTTTTGGTTTTTGTCTGTTTGAAATGGTTTCGCTACATAGGCAAGACTGGTCTTGAACTCACTTTGTAGCCCACACTGGCCGTGAACTTTCGCCGATTGTCCTGTTTCCGCCTCTCAAGTGCTGCAGTACAGGCATGTGCCGCCATGCCTGGCTTTGCCTTCTGGACTCCGTGACATCAATAGTGCTGATAGACAGACTGTCTTGCTTCTGGGCGGACCCCTGCCTTGTCCTCCCAGTCATTTATCATCCTAGTGAGCCTCAGCGGAACTCATTCTGTATTGGAAGTCAGGAACTTGCCAGCTGATGCTCGTTTTGTGTGTGTGTGTGTGTGTGTGTGTGTGTGTGTGTGTGTGTGTGTTTAGTACCTGTTTTCAGCCTCCCAAGTGCTGGGATTACAGGCACATGCCGCCTTGCCTGGTCTCAATCACCAGCTCAGCATGCCCCAGAGGTGTGCCGGCACAGCTGATGCTGTGGTTTTAAGGCAAGTTCAAAGAACAGAGAGGTTAAGTGTTCAGGTCAGGCTGCCTAGTCAGCTGATGGTGTCCACTACAGCATGAAGTTGTTGCCAGCAGATGTGTGAGCAGATGAAAAGCCAATACAACGCACCGTGACATGGTGTCCATCCTGGGGCAGATAGCCTGCAGCACTTAGACAAGTACAGCCTCTTCAAGCCAATCTGAAAAGAGCGGTGGCTGGGCTGCCTTGGCCGGAGGACACCGTGCACAAGTAGGTGCCGAGCACCTGAAAGATGCCCTGCAGGCTGCGAAGAAGGTGTTTTGGAAAAGAGAGCCAGGTTAAGGTTACATGAGCTTGCACTTAGCCATTCCAAGAATGGGAATGTTTGCTTACCTGGAGTTAGGTGGTTGTTGCAAAGATTAAATGACTGAATTTACATGTGTGGTTTAGGACTGTGTAGGACTACTCATAGGAGTGGGACACCCCTGAGCCTGAACTCCAGCGTGATCTGCAGTCCAGAGTGTGTTGAGCTAGGTGTGGTGGTGCACGCCTGTGGCTTCAGTACTTTGGAGAGCTGAGGCAGGAGGCTTGCAAGTTCAAGCTCAGCCAGAGCAAAACCCCGTCTCAATAAAACAATTTAAAAAAGGGCTGGGATATAGCTTAGAGTAGAGTTCGTGGATTTAGTCTCCAATCCCACAAAGAGAAAAAGGGTTGGGGGTTTTGGATTTTCCAATGAGGGATACTTGACTAATATCATTTATGTGAATGTTCCAAAATTCCTAAAACTCCAACACCTAAAACAATTTTGGTCCCAACTATTTCAGACAAGGGCTACCCAATTTGTAAACAAAATGCAACCATTTGACTAACACAAGTAGGTATTTGTCTTCTCACCTAACCAGAGGCCCAGAGGGGATTGAGGTCAAGCAGATAGGCCCATGGGGAACTCGCCAGGCGTGGAGAAGCCACCAGAACAGGGTCGTTCAGACTGGCATCGGGAGGCTGAGCTCTGCCTGGCAGGTGAGAGAGCCAGTCAGGAGATGAAACCGTGATGCCAAGTGACCGCACTGGGCACAGAGGGCCCGCTGGGCTCTTGCCTGGTAGTGTAGGGGCTGCATGTGTGCCTGCTGGCATCATGGGGACAGGACCCTTACTCCTTTACTCGGTGGCTCACTGAGTAGTTGGGCCAGGCGAGGCTGCCTAGGATGGGAGCAGGGCCAGGAGATCAGAGGGCAGAGCAGAAACAGTCCTGTCACTTGCTGATAGCCACTGTCACTTGTGCTGCTCATTGCATGTATGTGTTAAAGGAAGAAAACAAAACACCAGGTGGTGTAGTCGGGAATTTATAAAGGGAAGCAGTATAATGCGGGACACTTAATTTATAAGATTATATTAGGGCTGGAGAGATGGCTTAGTGGTCTAAAGCACCTACTTGAAACAACCTTGGCAAAGCACAGGGACCGCGGTTCAATCCCCCAGCACCACATGCCAGCCAGCCCCGCCCCCTGGTGGGCTGAGCTGGCCACACACACACACACAATAAATAAATGTAATAAATAAAAATAAATAAATAATTAAAAAAAATTATTAAAAAAAAAAAAAAAGATTATATTAGTCACACAGAAGGTCATATGCAAAAGTGTGGGAAATATTTCCACACACTAAGACCAAAAGAATGCAGCTGAGGGCCTGGATCCCACGGCAGTGTCCTGTATGAGTCCGGCGGACGTCTGTAACAATGCCCCCGCAAGTCCACCTGGAAGCCAAAAGCCCTAGACAGTGTCTTAGGCAGGACTTCCACAGATCTGCGCTGGGAAGGCCCCAGGGTCAGTGGTGGAAGCTACCAAGTCAGTGCCAGCGGGCTGAAGGATCTGTGCCAGCAGGCTGAGGGATCCGCTCCGCGGCCAGCGAGCAATGCTCAGAGGAAGAACCAGAGCTCTCCCCAAAGTACCACAGCTGTCCTCAGCAGTAGTGAGGTCCCAAGCTCCTCCGAGCACGAGAACAGCCGGGCTCCCGTCCGGAAAGCCAGTGTGACAAGCTACTCCAGGCGACTGAGCAGTGCACCTTCCCCGCTGGAGCCAGGAAGCAGTGCTCAGGTGGGAAACAGAGCTCCCCCAAAGTGAGCCCTAGCCGTTCTCAGCGACTGTAAGGTCCCGAGCTTCTTCCGTGGTGAGAACACCAAGTTTATTGGGAAAGCCACCATGAAGCTCCTCCAGGAGAACCAGCAGCTCGCTCCCTGCTCCTACAGCCTCCTTCTTCAGTTCGTCTTATTCTGTTGGCAGCCGTCCTCAGGTGGCCTCCCACACCCGGCACCGAGCTGGTTCAGGTCAGCTGGGCATTACAGGTTGGCCAGGGGCTAATCCACGACACCATGTGTGCAGAGTCCAAGCGAGCACGCCACATGGATGTGCTCGGGTCTCTTGCTCATGCTCCTCAGAGTACCTTTGATTGTTGCCCTGCCAGGCCAGAGTGGAAGCTGCTGGGCCAGGTTGACACAGAGTTCTCCTGAGAGGGGAGACCTTTCCCTAATCCCTGTCATGCTTAGCCCGGTGACTTGGGCCGGGCAGGTGGCCTTGCTGAGAGCCTTAGGTGTGAGGTACATGATCATCCCTCCCAGCCCAAGGGCTCCCCCGGACCGAGAGCCTCAGCTCTGCTAGTTACCATGCGTCCCGCCCACGGCAATGCAAGGATGGGCTGTTGCTTGAAATTTGAACTGGCATTGTAGAAAAGCATGTCTGGTATCAGTAGGTTCGTGCTCACCTCAGATCCGCGCCCAATGTTCTGCCTGTGGTTTGGTTTTGCAGTGTTCACTAAGCACAAAACAAGCTGGCTTCCAAATACATAGCTCTCACTTGGGCTGCTTCCCGTAATCCCTGAGCTGCTGACTGCTCAGGATGCCATTAGCCTGCTGCTGTGCACAGAGCGCTCTCACTGGTGCAATTATCTTAGCGCCAGGGGAGCGGCTTCTGCGTGTGTTCCTCCACCCTGCACAGGTACACAGAGAGCTCTTGAGCAGCCCGGCTGTGGACAAAGTGTTCTCCCAGCTCGGGTTCGCTTAACCTGCAGCTTTGCGGAATGAAAGCTGGCTTCGGGACTCTGCTCACTGTCACTTGACACTTGTTCAGTTGTGTGCTCTGTCCTTGTGGGACAGGCATGGAGTCTATAAAATGGGTGTGGAGGCAGCCTGGCATTCACACCTGGGTCTTCCTTTCCCTGGGGCACTGAGTAAGTGACTGCTGCCTAGCTGGTCACTTTTCTCACATGAAGCTAGGGTGCAGGAAGGCCAAGGGTGGTGTACAGGTGCAGCTTGTTGCTGACATCCCTGGTGAATCCCTGGCCTCACTCAGGCCCGTCCCTTCGTGTGTCACGCAGGAGTGGGATTGTGGGCAAGAGGAGCTGAGGTTTGGATTTCCTGGTAGCATCTGATGGGTGGGAAGGCCTGTGAGGGCACCAATCCCTAGGAGGCCGGCGGGGTGGGGGGGGCAGTCATTAATGCCCTTGCTGTTCCTGGACTGATGACAGTGAACCGAGGAGGACAGCTATGAGAGTGCTTTTACAGGGCCTGCTCTTGGAGTTGCGTTTCCCCTCAGTGCCCCACCCCACTCCGTTGCTCCCTTTCCTGCAGTGCTGTGCCATCATTTTCCTGCAGGGCCTCATTTGGTTCCCCCCCTCCCCGTTCTGCAGACCATGCCTGGGCTAGAGAAGGGTGTGCGGTCATCTGCTGACTGTGCAGCTGGAGTGACATGTTGGACTTGCTTCATAGACAGGGCGAGCATCCTGGGTGATAGCTTTGAGCCCATTGTAGAGGGTTTGGGTGGCCAGAAGTTATCTGGGGCCAGCCTTTCATGAGCCTGTCCAGAGCTGCATCATCCTGAGTCGGCACAGGCCTGTGACCACTGCTCCGTGCTCCCTTCTCTTTTAGAGGGAGCTCTGGGCCCCACACCCTTTGGGGGTGCCCTGGAGGTGGAGCCATCCCTGCACACATCAAAAAGTGCATGCACGATGAAACCCTGTCAGTTGAAACAAGAGGGGCCAGGGAGGTGGCTCAGTAGAATAAGTGCTTGCCTGGCAAGTGCAAGAGTGTGAGTTCAATCCCTGGTTCCACACCAAAAAAAAAAAAAAAAATTGACACAAGGACGATGGAATTTGGAGATCATTACAGTAAAGGAAATAAGCCAGGGCAGAAAGACAAGCACGAAATGTTCTCACTAGTGGGGTTTTTTGTTTTATACAGGGTCTCACTGTGTGTAGTTAGGCTGGACTTGAACTCGCTGTAACTCAACTAGCAGTCCTGCCTCCACCTCCTGAGTGTCACCATTCTGGCTGGTTGGAATATTTTTTCAAAACTGGATCTCATGAACTTAGAAGCAGAATGGTGGTGAGCAGAGGCCAGGGAAGCTGGAGAGGAGGGTTGAGCAGAGAGAAACGGGCCCCAGGAGCAAGGATGGGGAGGGCTGAGCTGCCCCCGGGAGCTGAGCTGTTGTACAGTGAGCACCTGTAGCTAGCAGACAGTACTGTCTCAGACAGCAGGAGTCCACGAATGGTCCGGGGTGGAGCCCGGTGGCAGAGCACTTACTGACGTGCTCCAGACCCTGCCTTTGATCCTCAGCACTGCCATAAGTCAGTGAGTGAGTGAATGAATGAATGAAAGAATGAATCTTCGGAGAAATCCATATGTTTGGGCTGCTTGGAGCAATGCACAGTGTGCACGTGTGCCAGCCACACACAGCGCCATGTGTGTCATAAAGTCATCTACGTTTTAAAATGTGCCCATGACTGCAGAGTCCCTTGGGCTCCTGAAGTATCCAGAGACCCCAGAGGGCTTCCCTGGGTGTGGGGGTTATTTTTCATTTATTTATTTATTTATTTATTTTGTATTTTAGGGAAGGGTCTACAGGGTGTTCAGGGTCTCACTACTAGATCAGACTCGTAGTGATCTGCCTGTTTACAGCCTCCCAGGAGCTGGGATTACAGGTGCACGCCACCACTCCCAGTCTCCATTGCTGTCTCAGTGCGCCCTGGGGACAGGGCTTGTACGGTAGGCCTGGGGATTGAACCCCCAGCCCCTGCGCCTGCTTGCAGGTGCTTTAATCTGCTCTTTGGCTGGCCCAGGTCTGGGGATTCATAATGTACCCATGTCCACCCTGGGCCCCGAGGTGCAGAGGACCCATCATAGTGGACCCCCAATGCCGAAATGAGCATATTCTGTTTTGAAAGAATGCTAACCTTCTTGGATTAACACTAGGGCCAGAGAGAAACCTGTGTGTGGACTCTAGACTCACAGCTAGAGCTCCTAGTTTCAGTAAACATACAATCACCTTGGTAACAAATGCATTTATTGGCTACATTTATAGTAGAAATGCATGGCTAGGTTGGTACAAGTTTAAAGAGGGAAATTTCTTAAAATAATACTTGTTTTAAAGAGCAAGGCACTCACTACAGACATGTACAGGTGCCTACTCCTACTTGTTTTTTCTTTGAGACAGAGTCCCACTATGTAGCCCAGGCTGGCCTCCAACTTGTGGTGATCCTCCTGCCCTAGCCTCCAAATGCTGGGATTATAGGCGTTTGTCACCGTACCCAGTTTCCACTCCTACTTTTACCCTAGTTTCTTCCAGCCTCCAGTTAAAAAAAGAAATTCCGCTTCAGATTTTGCCCATGGCCTTAGAAGGACTGCACGGCAGAGGCCTAGTTGGGTCTGCAAAGGCCCTTGACTACCCAAACCATTCTTTTCGACAAGCTGCCCTTGGCATTGCTTGGCTGTTATTTTTTTTTTTTTAATTTAATTTAATTTTTTTTTTTTTGCAGAACTAGGGATTGAACTGAGGCCCTTGAGCTTGCCAGGCAAGCACTTACTCTACTGAGCTATCTCCCCAGCCCCTTGGCTGTTAATCTTTATGCCATCTGGGTTTTTTCTTTTTACATCGACTAACATGAGGAGTGCTTACTGAGGAAAGCTATAATGTAGAGATTCTATGCTGATAGAAGAAAATGCGGGCATTAGAATTGGAAGCCTAGGGGCCGGGGAGATGGCTCAGTAGAATAAGTGCCTCCCTGCAAGCTCAGGGGTCTGAGTTCAATCCCCAGTTCCGCGCAAAAAAAAAAAAAAAAGAATTGGAAGCCTGGCTTCTTGTTGGGGCTGTGGCACTTGCCCTGGGCATGTCGTTTGTCTTCTCAGGTTCCTGTCTTCTGGTCTATGAGAACGGGGCCACATCTTCATGGTTAATGGGATTGCAAGCTGCCCTAGTCAGTGGGGAGGGGAGGGGCTGCCCTTACCAAGTACCACAGAGCCGGTGGCTTTAAGCAGAGAGGTCTCAGAATTCTGGGGCTACGAGTCCTCCCGGCAACTGCACATGGCTTTCCCTCTGTGCTATAAGGCCTAAATTTCCTCTTCTGTAAGCTTGCCAGCCATGTGGGATTCGGGGTTACCTTGTGTCATTTTTCCTTAATTGCTTCTTTAAAGACCCTATTTTACACTCATCTACAATCCCATCTAATCAGAAGGCCATGGCCAGAGATTGCAAGTTTGAGGTCAGCCTGGGCATGTAGCAAGACCCCATCTCAAAATCACTTCTTAAAAACAGCTAGCAGTGGGGCTGGGGAGATGGCTCAGTGGAATAAGCACTTCCAGGCAAGCTCAGAAGCCTGAGTTCAATCCCCAGTTCTGCAAAAAAAAAAAAAAAAAAACAGCTGGGAGTGTAACTTACTGGTTGAGCACTTGCCTGGAGTACACAATGCCCTCGGTTCAATACCCAGCACTGCCCCTACCCTCCCAAAAAAAAGTCCCTGTCTCCAGATACAGCCCTATTCCAAGGTACTGGGGTTAGGACTTGGAATTGAGGGGCAGGGACCTGAGTCAGAATAGTACAGGCGTGCAGCATCGAGCCAGAGTAGGCCCAGTACACCTGCTTCGCGCTGCAATATTCTAGGAGAATGCTGTTCTCTGCAGCCTGCCAGACACACAGAACCTGTTTAAACCAGCAGCCTGGGATTGTGCCAGGGTTACTCTGTCCTCTGTTATCAGGGCTGAGGCTGTGTCTTCCCTCTGCCCTAGATTCAGGCTGTTGGAAAACTTGCGGTGAGTCATCCGGTGTCTCTGCTCCTCTTCCCCAGCACTGGCACTGCGGGGCTCTCTTATCTGTGTGTGGGAATTTGCCCACCTGCTGGCTCTAAACTCCTCACTGCCTTACTCTTTGAGTTCCTGGCTGGACTCTCTCCTGACTGTTGTTCTGATTCTCAATCTCTGGCAGTGCTGGCTTGCTCTTACCATACCTGAGAAGTGTCACCCAAGGCTTTGAGTGAGTGTCATGTAGCCTTGTCCTCTGCTGTCCTCGACCATAGATGCAGGGTGTCATGGGAGAGCTCATCCTGTGCTGGCACTTTGAACGGGCAGTGCTCAGTCACACACACACACACACACACACACACACACACATCCCCAGCAGCCTGCATAGTGCCCTCTTCTAGTTCTTCCCAGTTCCCAGTTTCAGTGTCCCCAGGGAAGCAGCCTGAGGAGCTGTCTCTGGGCAACCAAGCAGCCTCCTGAATTTTGCTCTTGTTTTTCTCTTCCAGCTGCAGTCACCGCTCCATGAGCAAAACCTGGGTGCCCAAGCAGCCACCGTGGCCGGAGTGCAACCCGCAGAGAAGCTGACCACCGCCTGAGACAGAGCGCGCGCGTGTGTGTGTGTATGTGCGTGTGCAGAGGAAGGTGTGGTGTGCTGTGTGCATGCATGCTTACACCCTCATGGTCCTGAGTGCTGCCTGGGCTGGAGGAGTACCTGGAGCGGCCCAGCTGGCCTCCAGGTACAAGGCTAGAGGTCATGGCTGTGACCTTTGGCCTTGTCTGAGTGGAAGGTAGTGGTAGGACCCCCTCTCTTTGCATCAAACTGAGGCACAGAAGGGCCACATTTCTGGCTGTTGTCAGAAGCACAGGATTCTAGAGGCAGCCAGAGTCCTGCTGAGTTTCCACTCCAAAGCAGGAGGCTAGGCAGGCAGGAATGGGTGGGTTCTGTCCAGATATAGCTACCTGGCCTGTCCTCTTATTTTGAATTCTCCGCCACTGGCCCTTCAGCCTCTTCCTTGGGCATCTGGGACTGAGGAAAGGCTGTAGACAGATTGGAAAGTCTGCTCTCAGCTAGAAGTATACCCAGATGCTTGACTGATGTAGCCTAAGAAGCACCTCCACCCTCTCAGGCCTGGACCCCAAGCTGAGGAACAGAATCCCAGCTGTCACTGTTCCCTTCCCAAGAGCTGAAAGTTAGTGCCAGAGCCTACGCCTACTAGGCGCTGTGCAGGGACGGGGTCCCATCTGGCCACGGTGCTCAGTGAGGACATCTGACAGCCGGCCAGGGAAGCAAGCTCGTCATTGTTCTGTAGGCTTCCAGGGCCTGCTGTGGGCTGGTCTGCATCCAAGCTGCCAGGTCAGCGGTCCAAGTGGCTGGGCCCCAAAGGCTCAGACTAGGACTAGAGTGGGCACTGCCAGGGTTGTTGGCAGAAGTCTGCATGGCGCTCATAGCCAGACACTGTCCCTCCCAGAAGCAGTAGGCAGAGATGCATTCCAGGAGTGGCCCGTGCCACCTCTGCTCGCCCCCACTGTCAGGCCTGTGTCAAGAGAGGAGATGAGAAGGACTGTGTGGCCAGCTGGAGCAAGTCTTCCTTCCACCCTGTGGCCTGCGCTTGAGCCACAAAGTGTGTGTGCGTGCGTGCGTGCGTGTGAGGAACAGAACCTGTGTGCGTGCACAAAGCTGAAAGGCTAATTCCTGTTGGATTGTCGTTCTCACGTGTAACACTAAGCTGGCCTCTGGGCCTCTTCCTCTACCTCCCCTGTGACCTGTCCAGCCTCAGAGCTGTTAACGCCCATGGCCTGCCATCACTGTCCTCTGTCTCAAGCCAGAACCCTGGGACAGGCTCTTGTCTTCTCAGTGTCCAGCACCTTGACAGGCTTCTTCCTGAGACAGCCTGCGGTTTTCTCAGCTAGAGAGCTGCCTCTGTAGAATCCTACTGTTATGTGTATTGCCCTCACCAGAAAGGTCCTGTAATCTGTGGGGAACGCCATAGGTGCTGGTGTGTTTGGACCGCTGGGTGGGGGCTTGCCTTCCCTCAGCCCCAGCCAGGAGGAGGGAGAGTGGGGCGAGCCTGGAAGGTCAAAGGCTGAGGGCCAGATTCCGTATTTATTGAGCAGCACCTTCAGCTAGTGAGGTGACTCCCCTCTGCCTACTGGGTGGCTCTCTTCCCTAAGATACAGGTTGGCATGGCCAGCTCCCCTCCTCTGCCATTCCCAGCTTCCAGAGCAGTGGGGCAGTCCACTCCTGGAGCTGTGGAGAGGGCTGCAGTGGCCTGGAGTTCCACGGTGGCTCAGGCCTCCCTCCTTTCCCAAGTGGCCCAGGGTCTGCCACAGAGCAGTGCCCCATACCCTGATCCAAGGACCAGCATGGAGAAGAGATGCTCGCAGACAAAAATGCACTTTATAGAGATTTTCTCTTGCTGGGAAGGCGTGTTTCTCCCATGGTTTGTTTGTGAATATTCACTTGTTTTATAAACATCTGATCCTGTCTGAACAAAGCTGTGCTGTCATCAGTCCTGTGGGAGGTCTGGGGACCAGGGCTTGGTTAGGCTGAGCCTGCATGAAGCTTCGGCCATACCATCTTGGTCCTGCTGGAGTGAGCAGGTGCCCACGTGAGGTCCTGCTGGAGCACAGCAAAGCACTCTGGCTCGGAACAGGGTTCCCTAGTGCCACCCTGCAGTGACCCCACATTGCAGCCCAATTAGTGTTCCAGGACAGGTCAGACCTCAGCTGGACTGGGGCCCATTCTTTACCTCAGTGTAGCGCTTAAGCCACAGCTGTGCTGGGGAGGGCATGTGGACCCTGTGATGACAAGGCTGGGATTGTCACAGTCACACCTTGGGCCTGGTGCTGGCTTTGTTTCATGCCATCTGGCTGGAGTATGGGCTTTTTGTGGGGAAGGAACTGAGGCATGACCAAAAACCCAGTCTGCCCTGCACAGTGGGAGGAGGAGGGAGCTCGGTTTGAGTCATCTCACCTCTTGGCTGCCCTGATACCTTGCTGGCCTCCCCGCCATGACATGGGCCAGCCTTGCTCCTCTGTACCTTCTACGTGGCTTTGGCATGGCCTAGGTGCTAAGAGACTCTGCATCTTGAGCAAAAGGGTCTGAAGATGGGTTGTCTTGATATGCGGACTCCTGCCCTCCTGCCGGCGCTTCTGGCTGAGACAAGTGTGTGTTCTTAGCCATGATAACGAGTAAGATGGTTTCCTGGGAGGACAGTCAGGTGCCACGGTCACAGATGGTGACTGTGAGGGCCTTGTGAAAGGGGCTTGAGCTGAAAACAAAAGGCAGTGACCACCCCCCTGATACCAGTGGCAGGGAGCAGGGGCTGCCAAAGCCTTTGGCCTAAGTACATTCTCGGCAAAGCAGGGAGTTCCTTGCTGTAGTACAGGTGCCTTCAGTTCCTGGGCACTACATGAAAGGACAAGGGGCCAGCATGACCAGTACTACATTTGAGATTTGCAAATAGGAATCCACAGGCTGTGGAAGGTCACTCTGTCCCTTCTGCCCCATGCAGGACAGGGGCTCTGTGACTCAGCACAGCCAGGGCCTTAGCAGTCTGTATTTCATGAGAGGACCCAAGCTAGGAACACACGTCAGAGGGCAAGGACTAACCCTCTCCAGGGGAAAAAAGGCCAGGAGAAAACCACAGCCAAACCAGACAGTAGTGGGGGAAGAGAAAAAACTAAAAGACTTCCAATAAGTCAATAGGTGCAAGGGAAAAGTCTTAGGTCTTAGGAAGGGAGAAGCCAGACCTGGGGTAACGGTACAGATGAGGGTGCTCTGCAGGGAATGTAACTGAGGTGGTAGGTGAGGAGAGGAGATGCTGGGAAGTCCTGCCATGAAGGAGGTAGTGCAGGGAGGCTGAGGAGCCAAGAGGAGGGCTCACTTCACCCTTAGCAGCTGCTTGGGGCTGAAAGTCTCAGGCCGGACTTTATCCGGGACTCACACTAGGGACACTCCTTGGGAGGCTCATAACAAAGGAAGAGGACAGGACAATGCCAGCATTGTCCACAAGAGCTGGGAACACCTAGCTCTCACTCGCATTTCTCTTACATCCCATCCTCACCACAACCACGAGAGGGGTCATTGTCCCCATTCCACAGATGAGAAAACCGAGCCTTAAGCAGTGACATCACTGCAGGGTCCAACTGCCTGTGCACCTGTGAACTCACACACCTGGCTCCCAACCTGTCAGCCCGCAGGGTCCCCCAGCATCCACTGGCCTTCCCTCCTTTCCTGCCACCTTGTCTGCTTTGGGGGTCAGGGGTGAACTTGGGGGTCAGGGTCTGGTTATTACCTGATTCCAGTGATGTCCACTTCTGGGACAAACCACACCAGCCCTGAAGTTATGAGGGCTGGGGGAGAATTCAGGTCACATTTTGGGCGGGGTTGGGCAAAGCCTGGGCCGCGCGGAGGAGCCTTCAGCACCTCGGAGAGC